ACACGTTGGTATGAACATATTAACATCACTAATGTGTGCATGCCACATAAGCGGTGAACATATTAACATGTGCCCACCGTGGGTAGGTAAGCATTGGACATATTAACATGTGTCCACCGTGGTAGGTGAGCATTATTGGTAGTATGTAATATCATATATTATATTTCGACCACAAAAAATTATATGCCCCTAAGAAATAGACACCGTCTAAGAAAATGTATCCTCCAATGCAAATAAATCCTGCTGATATGGCAGTCAGAAAAATTATTTATAAAATATTTCACCTCAAAAAATTTCAACTCAAAATCTAACTCAGCTTTAACTCAACCCCACTATTTTTAATATTATTCATATAATTAAATAATACAAACCAATCATTCTTACACATCACATCAACTTTACTTCACTATTCATCCACTCACATAATTTTAACTACCAATCATTTCCAATCATTTATCTCCTACTTTATATCAAATCAATTTTAATCATTTTATTTTAAATATTATTTTAATATATTTTTTAAATCCCACTAATAATTAACCACACTACTTTTTCAACTTTAACCATAGTTAACCAAAATGAAATATTTTGGATGAAATATTTTATAAACAATCATGCCCCTAATCTCTTTGCATTAAAGTATATTTTGTTAACTATACATAGTTTTATTCATGTCATCCAACACTTAGGTTTATTTACATGTCACATTAGCAAAACTAGACTTAATACATTGTAGATGCTCAGGCACATGCAAAAAATACAAGTAAAGTATTATAAGTTTATTTATGTATAAATTATTAAAATTATAATTTAGTTAATTGGATCAAATTTTAAAAATTTAATCATTAATAAAATTAAAATATTATAACGACTTAACCATAAATGAATCACTATATTAATCGCGTGAAAATAATAAATAATGTAATTTTTATAATTTTGAATGATCATGATTGATTACTTAGCCGAAAAAATATTAAATTATTATTATAGCAATTATTTATGAGATTTTAAAGGGTTTGATTATTATGTCATTAAATTCAATTAGGTTTTTTTTTTTAAAAAAAAAACATAATCACTTAATGAAATGCCAAAAAAAAAAAAATATATATATATATATATGTAATATTAAATTTTATAGTAAATATTTTGAAAAAAAAAATCAATAAATTTTTTATAATGAAATGTGCTTTATATATTAATTGAACAATGTAAAATAATGTAATTATAGATGTTGATGGTCAATTTGAAATTTGTTCACTTTATGTAAAATTGACCAAAATTGTGCATTTTGTCAAAAAAGATATATGGAAAAAGTTTCCATGCGCATTCATGAATCAACATATCTAACGCCTCAATTAAATCCAGCCTAACTCACATTACTATGAACCTAATCAGCTATCTCAACTCCTAATTACTCTAACTAAACAATTAAATTATAGTAAGAAATTTATTAATATGTATTAATGTATATTATTACTAAAAGTTGACTTTGTAGATACGGACTACAATTTATTAGGCTATTATTCTTGTACTTATACCCATATTCTAAGGGTGTCTCCAATGGTTAGCTATTTGGCTAGCTATTATGACGTGGACAGGGGAAAAGTAAGAGAGAGAGTAGTCACTAGCTACTAACAAATAGCTTATCTATTTCACGTAGCCCAATATTATGTGAGAGGAGTATGTGGGTCCAATAGTGTAAAATAGTTATTTTTCTTATCTCTCACATCCATGTCAGCTGACTATATAGCTAGTAATAGCTATTACCATTGGAGATGCCCTAAGTAATTAGTACGTACCCTGTGCGATACACGAGACAAACATATTAAATGAGTTATTTTCACATCTTTTTCCGTTTAAGTCTAAAAGGTAATAATGTTATTATCTATTTTCTATCTCTTTTAATCAACGTTAAGTCTAAAAACTTATTATGTCGCCCCCTGGCAAATATGTATGGAGTTATGTGTTTGTGTCTTATAAGTCACAAACATTATGAATAACATTAACATTACAAATTATTCATTCAAACTTTTATTCATTGCAAATATATTAAAATAGTTTATATAACATCCATTAAATACCACTTTCAATATATTTATAAATAGAAAGTACATAAAATTTTTGTTGTGTTCAAATTTAAATAATTTTTTGTGGGCTCAATTTTAAATCATCCAGACATTTGGTCAAACGCATAGGTGTGTTCAAATTTAAATCATTGCCATTTTGGTCGGTTGAAATTTATATCATCTACCATGGTATTGTGATGTGTATTATATATATATATACAATTTTTTAACAAATAATATGTGCTTTATAAAAATAATAATAATAATTTCACAAGATTTTAAACGTAAAATTTAGTTTTTAATCACAATAGAAAAATCATGGTAAGTTGTATTAAAAAGGTGTTATGAGATAAAATAATTAACTAAAATAATTAAATAAAATACTTGATGGAAATAGAATGCATTAATTACCTTTGACTTTTCTTACTACTAATTCTAGAAAATATAATGCCTTTTATATAAGTATAGATGTGCATGTAAGATTTTTTAAAACTATTTCGTAAAGAAAATATGTCTAAAAATAATTAAACTTAACATGTGTT